GCATGTCTCCCATTTCCTTTTAGATATCATTATGTCAGGCCTGCAGCCGATTCCTTTTGAGATCTTTGGCCTGCCACACTAATATGCTATTCTGCTATGCTGTTTAATTAGTGGGGAATTGGGAGGTGGAATAGTAAGGAGTAGAATGTGATGTTTTCAAAATAAAATTCCTTTCTAGAATCCAAGGTCATCCTTTGTCTCTACACCTCTGCACCTGACCGGAACTGGATGGATGGAACTGCCAGCATGGCAGTGGAAGATTGGGCCATGTGATGGACTTGTGGGTGTTGGGGCAAGATCATGAACTTTCAACTGGGTGGGAAAAACTGGGAAGCTTTCAGCCAACATGGCTGTCTTAATAAATTGGAACTTTTAGCAATACTTTGCCTTGGTCTCTGATTTAATTTTGGATGCTATTTGGAAACCTGACACCAGGCAGCTACTAATAAAAGTATGATTCACTTTGCACTTACTGATATCCATGGATGCTTCAGAGCTTCTGCTGCTGTGATACGTTTGGAGGGGTTGATTGTTAACATTTTATTGATGAGGTCTTTTGCTTCAGGAGTAACAGTATCCCACTCAGGAGAAGGAAACTGCAAGTACAAGAAGATAAAACTCCTCATTCTCTCTTCTGCAGGAGAGAATTGACACAATGTATTTCTCTGAGACAGTAATTATACAGTCTAAGCATTAAGTACACATTCTGTATACACACATTGTCAAAGAAAATAGGGAAAAAATCTAGATGTATGTATTTTTTATCTTAATTAGCTTTGTGTTTTTGTTGTTCTTTACTTTATGTCATTATTTTAAAAACAATAAAAACAAATTAGAAGTTCATGTCATGTATGAGTTTTCCCTTGGTATGTAGCTGACTAGGGGGAAATTAGTACAACAGTTAAATGCAGTATGAAAATATTTATTTATTTAAATTTCATATTTCTTAATTGCCCATCTCCATTTTGCCCATTCACCCATTTCAAAGGTCTTTTAAAAACACTAATAAAGATATTAGGCTGGTCCACATTGCAGAGAATGCATTCCAAGAAGCTGAGCTTCAGAAGGGACTGTAGGAATTACAGGCAAACATTTTACAAATGTGGAAATTCAACCCAAAAACTATAGCCTAGAACTAAATCATGTAAAGCTTTGAAGATAACCTATGTGCATATTAGTATGTGTGCATGCACGCTTTCAAGTCAATTTTTTTTTTTTTACTCCTGTTGACTGCCTGGACAAGTTTGTGCAGTATGTTGCAGACTAGACAGAAATAACAGATCCAAACAGAGGATATTACTCTATTTAAATCTGGTTATCACTCTGGCCACTATTACTGTACTCTAAGGTCACTATCTTCTGAAAGACAAACATGGTTGGTATATTTCCTGGAGCTCTTCAAAGGCACATTTGGCCTTGCTTTAACCTTGAAAGTCAGAGAGGGATTTAAGTCTAGAATAGGGATCTCATGTTGAGCACTTCTCTCTTGTCTAGGTCCAGTTTCAAGAAATTATCACCCATCCAGCCCATTACTAACTGCGAGAAGGCATTCAGAAGAGCCATTCCATTTCCTAAAGACATCAAGGAGAAAGAGTATCATCAACATACTACAGCATTCAGCTCCAACTCTCTTGTTTATTTCCCTCCAGCTACTTCTTCTAGACATTGAAAAGCATAAGATACATAATTGAGTTCTGGAGGATACCATATCACAGCTTACATGTTGAGGATGCAGCATTATCTGAAATCTACCTGAGAGAGATAGCAATAGGTCCACTGCAAAGTTGTGCTTCCTATTTCCAAGTTTATCAGATGATCTAGAGCAGGAGTGTCAAACTCACGTCATCACAGTGGCATCACCTGACGTATTGGGACTTTCCCCCATTCGTTAAACTGGGTGTGGGTATGGCCAGTACATCTGGCCCATGGGTCAGGAGTTTGACAGCCCTGATCTAGAAGCTATCAAAACCCATTGAGATGTCAATGGGAACCAATGAATTCATGTTCAATCTATCGATTCCTAGATAAAAATCATCATCAGGCAGACCAAAGCTACCTGAAGCCCACCATCAAAGCAGTTTGAAATGGGATAAGATAATCTATGGAGATTCTCAATCAACCAGGTCATGTTGTCCCAAAGGTATTTTTCAAAAAGCAACTAGACTTGCTTAGTTTTTGTTCCTTAAAAATGTTTTTATTCTCATCCAAGAAGCTTCTTCAGTTCTGATTGAATGGTGGGAAATTGAAAGATTTATATTCTTTGCGGTCATCTGCAAAGAATGACTGAGGTCACTCGTTACGCTCCGAGAGCTGTTGAGGCCACTTAGGGGTTTATCTGTACCCTCAGGGTCACCTGAATCAAAGTGCAAATGGATGTGGAACCTTCTTGGAACTGCTGAAAGGATTGCGTGGTACACAGGGGATAGGTGGTGTTATATCACTTCCCCTCTGTTGAAAGAGGACTCTTCAATTTTAATATAGATGGCCATTCTTCAGACATTATTTTGAAGACAGCAAAGTCCACATTCTGGACAGAGAAACCACTGGTTTGAAAGAGGGATCAAAGAGGCCATTTTATCAACCTAAACTCCCCCATAAAAAGAAAGAAAACTCCCCAGTGAGTCAACAGATCTGTTTGATACAGAGCTGCCACAGGAAGGAAAAATCATCCCATCTCAGGCAGAGAGGTCATGTTCCAGCAGATGCTACATTGTTCATAAACTCTCCTTGTTGCTATTCCTTCTTTACTATAATCTCATGTGTTCCTTTTTGTAGCTACAATAAAAACAGTCACTGTTATTTTGTAATTGTTTTACTCATATTGTAGACCTTTAAATCAGCATTTGTTCTACATAAACTGCTGAGAGATTTTGCTGACGAAGGTGACATAGAAATATGTTCAATAAATATAGAATATCCAGCTTTATTCATGGCAAGCTCACAATATAAAATAGTCTGAGAGAAACATTAATCTGGAATAAGAGTCTATGATTTCCAAATCTTGTTGAATTACATCTTTCAGTATCTCTCTACATTCTTCATATATCTTGCTAGAACTGAATGAAACTGGTGTTGAACAGCAGTTCAGAATCATGGTTTATCAGTCCCAATTACCCAAATGTGGACGTCAGCATAGCCTAACCCCTAGTCCAACATATTAACTGCAACATTAGATTGATATTTAGATTGGTTTCCAATATGGTAGTGCATAAATAAAGCAAGTGAGGTAAAGTTATTAAAACAAATTAAGGTTGGAGAGAGAAGAGGAATATGAAAGGGGGGATCGCTTACATCATAGGCTCCAGCTTTGATCTGCTGATATAATCGGTGTTGATCCTCATCCCAGAAAGGAGGATAGCCAACCAGTAGAATATAGAGAATAACTCCTGTGTGTTTAGAGGGAACATTGTTACATAAGCTAGTGGAAAGGAGTTGATTGACACAGGAGATCTGAATTGGCCTACACAGAGAGCAAGATTAAAAAAAACGAGATGAGTCAAGAGCTGAGTATCTTCCTGTATTATCAACATCATCCCGATGTTGTATAAAATGGTTAATTCTTAACTGAAATGTCAAGGATTCAGGCATAAGTGTGAGCTCTTTGCAGTTCAGTCTGAATCATCAGTATCATCATTTGCCTGAAAACAAGACCCAAAATTCCTCATGAAAATTTGTAAAGATATCTCTGGCATTGGCTTTTTGCTAAATGATATTGTGACTGCATTTATCTACCTATTGGAAGGAATAGTTAGATATAGTTCTACAAATAGATACAGGTAGTCCTCGACTTATGACCAAAATTGGGACCAGAATTTCCAAGGCAGTTGTGCCTGATTTTACTACCTTTTTTGCCATGTTGTTAAGCGAATCACATGGTTAAGTGAATGGTTCCACCCACTGACTTTACTTGTCGGAAGCTGGCTGAGAAAGTCGCAAATGATGATTACATGACCCTGGGACAGTCATAAATACAGGTCTCCAAGTGCCCAAATTTTGATCATGTGACCATGGGGATACCACAATGGCTATAAGTGTGAGGACTGATCATAAGTCCCTTTTTCAGTGCCATTCAAATTTTGATTGGTCACTAAACAAATGGTTGCAAGTCGAGGATTACCTATAGCAGGTTTACTAGACAGGCCAGGCTTCAGGAGACTTGTCTTCTCAGGGGTTGCCACAAAGAAGAGGGAATCAAACTATTTTCCAAGGGACCTGAGGGTAGAGCAAGAAGCAATGGGTGGAAACTAATCAAGGAGAGAAGCAACTTAAAACTGAGGAGAAATTTCCTGACAGTTAGAACAATTAATCAGTGGAACAGCTTGCCTCCAGAAGCTGTGAATGCCCCAACACTGGAAGTCTTTAAGAAGATGTTGGATAGCCATTTGTCTGAAACGGTATAGGGTTTCCTGCCTAGGCAGGGGGTTGGACTCCAAGGTCCCTTCCAACTCTGGTATTGTATTGTATTGTATTGTATTGTATTGTATTGTATTGTATTGTATTGTATTGTATTGTATTGTATTGGTGATTGGCTAAAAAGTCTGAAAGCTTTGACAATCACTTTCTATATGATTGCATTTTCTCCCAATAGCAATAGCACTTAAACTTATATACTGCTTCATAGTGCTTTTACAGCCCTCTCTAAGAGGTTTACAGAGTCAGAATATTACCCCCAACAATCTGGGTCCTCATTTTACCAGGATGGTAGGTTGAGTCAACTTTGAGCCTGGTAAGATTTGAACTGCCGAACTGCAGCTAGCAGTCAGTTAAAGTAGCCTGCAGTGCTGCACTCAAACCACTGTGCCACCTCAACTCAGTACCCCATCAATGGAGAATTCAAAGAACGTCCTTCAGCTTTAAGCATGTAGAACCCATTGTCTGAGACAAAGCTGAGCTGAACTTTTGAAAGAAATGATCTTCTGACATTAATCTTTATTTTTGTTGTAATAAGTGTCCAGGTGGGGTTGGATATCAGTACAGGAGAGAAAAATAAAAGTTAACATTTCTCAATGTTTTATTTTTCTAGCCATTAGAATTCTTCATTGGCATTATGTGATTGGACTCACAAGGAATTTGTCTCCAGTGCATAAGATCTCAGTGTACTTGCAAGCAACAAGTAATAAATCATGATCATAATCATAAAATATTATCATCATCAATCATGATACAAACTCAGTAAATAAGCATATTTACTTATAAATAAGCATAAACATAAATCATAATAGGATACTAAATAAAGGCAATCAAAATAAATCATGAGATATAAACAACAAAATTATAGTTCATAAGAAGCTAAGGAAATAGGTAATAGGAAAGATGAAAAGATGAGAAGGATAATCAACGTGTCATATTTTTAAAAAATCTGCAGCATGAAAGCACTTAAATATTTTTATTATGAACGTTGTTGTAAAAAGGTGTTAAATTGCAAACGGGATGACTTTGGTTCCTCACAGCTATCAGAATGGGGGTGAAATAACAAGGAACAATTTTCAGCTTACTAAGATTTATTAGGAATAAGGTTGCAGTAAAAACACCAGATTTCTGGCAAATAAGTTTGCTTTCAGATGTGAAACCTATTTATAGGCAATTTAAGCCATTAGATGCTGGCTTCCTTCCTTGCTTCCTTTCAGCGTAACAGGAAGGAGGGCAATCCAGTCTGCCCTTATAATTTGTTGACATAATGGCTACATTAGGAATGTGAGTATTTCCTCAACTAAGTTGTTTTGCTCTGCTATGGAAATAGGGTGCTGGAATAAATGATTTGATTTTGACAAGGATTTATTACAATAAGTCAATACTAGGAATCAGGAATAGTCACTCCCTGTGCTGGAGAAAGCAGGCCTTAATGACCTAGGAAGCATTAATAACGGTCTTCATCCAATATTTTAAAAGGGATCTGTGGGAGATCCAGAAAATTACAGCCCAGGCTGTTTAACATGTTCCAGGCAAATTGGAAGAAACTATAATCAAACCAAAAACAAACTGAGCCCACAGAGGGATAAGTCTTGCTGAAAGAAAACCAGCATGGATTCTGAAGAGGGGAATCTGTCTCATTAATCATTTAGAGTTTTTGCAGGCCAGCAAGCCATGGATGGTGAGATCCTGTCAATATTGTATATCTAGATTTTCACAAGACCTTGACAACATTCCTCATAAAAAGTTCTTGAGTACCTTTATCTATTATGGGATTAGATGATTTGTCCTAATATTTTGTTTATTACTGATGAGAAATAAAAGCATAGGAACATGTGGCCATTGTTTTCAATGGAGAGAAATTCAAAGATGAGTGTTGGGACCAAGATCTCTTATCTTGTCCATACATTATTGTTATTTAAAAGATAGCACTCAGTTGGATATATCATCAAACTATTCTGATGCATGTTGGAGAGCAAAAACTCTTAATGCCATACTTAAACTGATAACATCTGCACTGTCTGTAACTAACCAGAGGTCCTTACTCAATGAGGATAATTGGGACCAGGATTTCTGTCATTAAACAATCCTAAAGTGTGACATCACAGCCAGTTGTGTGACTTTGGCCAGGCAGGAGGGTGCTATGGCCTGCCTGGGTAGGCACACATATGTTAGGGAGTGTGGGCAGGGATGATGCAGAATAAGCAAAAAATGGTCTGGGAATAACAACTCAAAGGAGGGACTTGCAGGCTCATATTTTTTCTCATAAGATTTCATTTTAACCTGTTACTTGGGCTAATGGTGATATGGACTCTAGCTTTTCCAAATTAATGGCCTCCAATCTATCAAATATCAAATGCTTATTTCCCTCCACCCAACAAAGTGATTTCTGAAAACATATAGAGCACACCAGTTGGGGAAGGCATTCCATTAAATATTTTCATAAATAGCCAATCCCATGAGCAAGCTACAAATAGACAAAAAACTGGTAGTAGGAACCCTCTTTCTGTTCCTAAGTCAGGGGTCCTCAACCCCCAGTCCATGGACCTGCACCGCTCCACAGCATGCCAGAAACCAGGCCGCATGAACAAATGCAGCCCCATCCTTGGGATGTAGACAATACATGAAACCATGCCTTCTATCTGTGGAAAAACCTCTCTCTCTACAGAACCGATCCCTGGTGTCCAAAGGTTTGGGGGGCGCTGCCCTAATTTACTGTCTTCAGTATCCTTTGAAATAAAGTTTCACTTACCACATGCCCAAAGGTCAACAGCTTTGCCATAGGGATCCTTCCGGAGTACTTCAGGAGAAAGGTAACCTGGAGTGCCTGCAAAACCTGTTAATTGTCAAAATAGACAGCTAATTACGTTATATGTCCCCAGGAGAATCAACAACTTTTCATTTAGAACAATTCTCGGTCTTGGGATTTCTCATTACATGATAAATATGAAGAGCTGAATTAGCAGGGATAATTGTCATCTCCCGAGCCTCGTGTTCTATTATGACACACATACTATGGGAGCTGTTCTTCTAACTTCTACTCTATTTGGATCCGGGTTTACTGCTCCCGCTACTCCCAAATGCTTCCCAAACAGCCCTATTTTTCTCTCCCCTAAAGCTGCAACTGCAAGCAATCTATTTCCCCACTGGAGGGAACTCCTCCTCCTGGTTTTGAGTTCACTCTATAAAGTCCTGTACGGGGGAACGCTGGCTTGATTGCTTCCGAGCTCTTGCTCGATGACACGTGAAAATGACAAAGTTTTCTTAGCCTGCAAACAAAAACAGCAGGCAGGCCTTGGTCTTGTCTTCCTTTGCTTTCTTCCCCTCTGGAATGGGAGGATATTTATTGCTGCGGGCCCTTTGGCAGTTGAGCAATGATTTCACTCTTGATTTTCACAGCTGCAAGTCTCGTAGATTTGAAGAGGATCACTAATCATCCTCCAGTGTGCTTTGAGGGATTATGAAGGACAGGCAACGGCCAACTGAAAGCGCCTTGCATCCCACCGCTGGCCCAGCTAGACGAGCGCGATCAGATCAAACCGAAGACAGCTCTGTGAAGTCTCAAAGCAATCATCTTTTACAGCCTTGTTATTCAAGATCCTTCTGGGACCTTTTTTGGTTGCAGAAGCATGTGCTGCCCTAGCGTATTTGCAAAATGTATTTATGGTTTAGGAATTATAAAGGTATTCCCTTAACAGCCTGTGTCTACAGCTCAAAGATACAATAGTAACAGACTTTAGGATGACCTAATCAGCTTGCAGTTATTATGACTTAATTAAACCCCAGCTAGTATTCCAGATTTATGTCTGTCTGTCTCTGTAAATACACACTTTCTCTCAACTGGAGTGGTAGCTAACTTTAATATTGTATAATATTATGCACACAAAGGCACAGAAAGAAATATCTAAATAAATGCCACTGGGGAAGACTGATACGGCCACACTGAACATATTTGTTTCTGTGATCCCTTTAAAATTAAAGCACTTAGTCTAAATCAGGGTGGTTGACTTTTTTCAAAACAGAAATTCCATTGAAGTAATTAGTTTTAGAATACAGACTATCTAAGCAATATGCGATTCTCATACATCTGACGTGTTGTAAATAAGCACAGCTCTCCAGAAGTTTAATCCTTTAACTTGACCTAGCAGAAGATGCTTAGGAATGACCTGGCCAGAATAAAGCTTTAAACACAGCAGCTGATTGACCCTCTCAGAGCAGAGAATAAAGAGTTTTGACACATATACAGTGTACTTCAGTATTGAAACTGATTCTTCATCCTGGCTTTATCAAATTAACAGATACATGGTGGTTTGCTTGGTGGCATTGGGTGATTGAGATTTGGCTCTTCCCAGACTTGGAGGTATTGATTCTTGACTTGCTGGCTTCAGCTTTATACCAGTTTACATTCTTTCTTTATTCTAACTTTATTCTTTATTCTTTCTTTCTTCATTCTAACTTTATTGAAAGTTTTAACAAGAATAAACATGAATACAAACTAAAATGGAGTAAGAAGGGGGAAAATACAACAACCAGAGGAAAGTATTAATTTATCATTTTTAGTTGTAGAAAAATACCAATTCACAGTAGTGCAGGATTAACGCCCTGCTTCATTTTACTGAGAGAGAGAAATGTATTTTGCCCAATTACATGCACACACAAAATGGAACCTCTGTAAGCCCAGTTTTCTTCTACTCACCAAACCAGGCCTGCTGTTCTCCTTCCACTTCAATAGCAAGACCAAAGTCAGCTAGTTTAACAGCAGCTCCCTTCAGTTTGGAGGCCAGCAAGAGGTTCTCTGGCTTTAAGAGAAAAAAAGAGAGAAGGGAACAATAAAAATGCAAAGGAAAAAAGCTCCCACTTTTCTCTTGTGACTGAGATGCAAAAGTGTAATAAACAGAACACTAAACTTGGCGCACCTTCACATCCAGGGGTGGGGTTGAAATTTTTTAGCAAGCGGTTCTCTGCCCAGTTGCTGGGTGGGCATGGCCATGGGGGTGTGGCCTAGTTATCTTCCTGCACCACGGTGGGGAGGGGTTTTTTTTCACCCTCCCCAGGCTCTGGAGGCTTTCCTTGAGCCTCCGTGGGGGGGAAAATGGCCTCCCAGGCTCCAGAGGCCCTCAAGAGGCCGAAAACGGTCCCATTTTTGGACTTCTGGTATTTCCAGTAGCCCCTTTTTTCACCCTCCCAGAGGCTCCACGTGGGCCCTGCAGTTACCTGGCATTCAAAATGGGCTGCGTGGAGAGTCCTGGGAGGGGAGGGGAGGGGTAGGCAGGGTCAGCCAGTTCTTTCAACTACCGGTTTGATGAACCAGATTAAAATTAACATCCGGTTCACCCGAACTGGTCCAAACTGGCTGAATCACAGCCATTTACATCTCTAAGATGACAAATCTATATTTCTGGGAAATGTGGAGAGAGCAATAAATATATATTTTAGTAGAAAGGCTAATGAACAAAAACAATGCAAGAACATTTAAAAAGATGAAGAGAAGAGGCTGTTGATGAGAAACAATGTACAGAAAGATTGATGAAAAAAAAGAGGTTGAACCATGCCATACAATGTATTAAGACAGAAAATGGAAGCTGCAAATGAGAGAAAAGAAATTAAGATTAAAAGTGGCAGGAAAAAATGCAATATTTTAATGAATAAAAAATCATTTAAGAAAAAAAATTAAGCAAATGGAATTCAGAATAAAAGTGAGAAATGCTTTGAGCTGAAACTGAAGTGAGAGAACATCAAAAGCAATACTGTAAAGGCTTCTATGGGAATAATGATGATGTGTCAGAATACTATTGACATGGATACTATTAACTTAAATCAGTGGTTCCCAAACTTGGCAACTTTAAGACTTGTGGACTTCAACTCCCAGAATTCTCTGCTGGCTGGGGAATTCTGGGAGTTAAAGTCCACAAGTCTTAAAGTTGCCAAGTTTGGGAACCACTGACTTAGATTATTGTAATTTGCTCTACATGGGGCTGGTGGTGAGCTGACCCAGAAGCTACAGTTGATAACAGAATATGATTGCAATTTACTGACCACCAATTCAATAGAACCACACTGACCGGGAAGAAGGTGCATTAGTTGCCAGAAAGCTTCCAAGCCCAATTCAAAGTACTGATTGTTAACTATAATGTAGTTTTAAGTCTTAAATCCTCCTTTACTTTGGACCAGAGGTGTCAAATTCAAGGCCCGTGGGCCAAATTCGGATCACAAGGTGCTTAGATTTGGCCTACAGGACCACCATGGAAACAGCAAAGGATCAGCCGCAGTGCCTCAGCCAGCAAAAATGGAGCTCAGGAAGACCACACATGGCCCTCCTGAGCTCCATTTCCAGCCATGATGGCTTCCTGCAACTCTCTGCCAGCTAAAACAGAGCTCTGGCTTGTGGCCCTCCCGAGCTCCATTTTCACTAGCAGAGTTCACACATCACCACAGGTGCCTCAACATGAGTGACATCAACTTGGCCATGTTCCCCCTAGTCGCATCCCCCCCCCAATGAGGTCAACCACAACCCTGATGCCACCATCAATGAAATTGTGTTTGACACCCCTGCTTTGGATAATCTACTTCAGGGAGATTCTGCCTGCCTCATACAGTCTACTTGGAGAGAGCCCTACAGAGACTCATGGCCCCTGAAGTTTGTTACTGAGCAATGTCTTTTGCAGTAACAGCCTCCTCATTATGGAAAATGTTGCCCCCCTTAAGTCAGCAGTCAGACCTCCACTTTTTTATGGGATGATGGCTAAAAAGACTTACATTTTCACAGAACCTTTCAAACGGAAAAATCCTTCAACAGTAGGCAATTGCATAAGGGTGTTTGTTTATTACCCACTGCAGTCCAGAGATTCCTGGCAGCTTATGTAAGGTATAAAGCCAAATAAAATATCAATCTAATTATAAAACAATTAAAGAACTGGAGCGACACAGAAAGCTATAAGTGATAAAAATAGGAAATGAAGATGGCTTGCTAAAATCAAGAGAAGAATTTCTTTACAAGCTTTTCAGATGTTAGCAAAGAGAGGCCCGGAATCTGAAGCAGTTCCTCTCTGTTTGATTGAATTGGTTGGGCTGTTACTGGTATGAGTAAGTGGTCCTGCCGATATATATCCAGGTGCCAGGCCATAACAGCTTAAATCAACAGCTTAAATTGCACATGAACAAGAGAATATTTTTATTTCATGGACTACACTTCCACTCTAGGTTTTGTGAAGGAAGTTTAACCAGAGGAATGCTTTTAAGTTCTTTCAATTTTACAATGTATAAATATTTTACCTTTAAATCCCGATGCACCACACCCATCTGATGACAATGCAAGACAGCTTCCAGGATCTGCTGAATACAATGGCTAGGAAGAAAAAACATTGTCACATTATGTCATATTCCTAGTTATGGGTAATGGCCCGAGATAATGTTTCTCAGTGGTCTCCATTTCATGCTTCACTCCTCCTCTCATTTTCTATCTTCCTATGTGCTTTTCTGCTGAGAGCCAAGCAGAACAAGCTTTCATTACAATTTTATTTAACAAAGAGAAATCTGACTGTGTAATGAAAACCAACCAGGGAATCTTTAGAGTTACTAAGGCTCCTTTCTGTGAGAAACAAACAAAAAGAACTTAGAGGTTTCTTTATGAGGTGATAGCAAAAGCAACCTTCTCACATAAATGAAGATTTTAGATGGCACGACCATCCCAAGAGGGTTACCATTACTGGTCTGTAAAACTCCAGATGATAATGAGATAGCAGCGAGGAGGCCCTGCTATTTGGCATCATTTAGTGCTCATTAACATTTGGCAGATTTGATATGGTAGCCATAAGAACCATTTTGTTGGTAGATCTCACCAGGGTTGCTAGATGAGGTATAGGCATCATGCAGGAAACATAAAGATACAGGTGGCAGAACAGACAGAAGAGCCACCTCTAAAATGAAATGACTTGATTCACAGATGCTAAAATGCAACTGGGTTTGAATTTCAAGCCTGCAGCAAATTTGTATGCATTGAATTGGGTATTTTTTACCTTCTGCAAGGCAATCACATGGATTAACTCCTCTGCGTTAGATGCAGAGCTCACCTTGAATTTGCTTTACAAATTGGAGGAAACAATTACCTCACAAAGGCCCAATACCCACCTATGTCAGCATTACATTGAATTTTAAATGATCAAATTTAAATTGAAAATTCAGATACAAATTAAGTACCATAAAAATGGAACTGAACTGAAAAGGAAATTCATTATTTGGGAGATTGAAAAGCATACATTATTCTTGATTATCTAAATCAAAGGGAGCAGACCTTTGGCTTAGAGGATTTTCCTTTTTCAAGGGAAGGCTGAAGACCACTGATCTCAGTTGCAATTTAGTTATGATGGGTTCACAGATTGTGTCATGTATTGTATAGCTTTGTTGAGTTCAGTTTAACATGTTATGTAAACCTGGTTTATTTTGTATAAATCATACATTATAATAAATATATTATGTGAACTCATTTAATAAACCCGCAGTACAGCACAATGTGTGATCCCCTGTATTATCTTGACCACAAAACATGGTAATCACCTGTAACTATCTGAATCCCCATTAAGCCTTTGCCCACCTGTGATTACAAACAATATTTTTTTCTCTTGTTTCAGTGAAATCAAAGCTTGGAGATACACAGCATCACAGATTGCCGCTATTCTAAAAAGAAAATAATAATAATAAAGCCCCAGTACACTAATGGTTGAAATGTAGTCCTAACAGAAAAAGCAGGCAGACTTAACAGAGCAAAGAGCTGAAAATAAATTTTATAAGTGAAAAAAGTAATGTTTTCATCCTTCTGGCCTATCAATTCCAGATAGAAAATTTAGAAACCAGTTTTTTCTAGACAAGTGTTTTTCAGCCGTAGCAACTTTAAAATGTGTGGACTTCAACTCCCAGAATTTGTCAGCCTGCCTGCTAACAAGGGAATTCTGAAAGTTCCACCAATCTTAAATCAACCAATCTTAAAATTGCCAAAGTTGGAAAACATTGTCTTAGTTTGTTACTTGTTACCTTCCAGTACCTACCTAGCATCTGCTTCACTATAGTATTCTCTGGCAACAATGTCTTCAAACAGCTCCCCTCCAGTTACACTAAAAAGAAAGGAAAGGAGAATCAGCTTCCATTGATTGACAACCCCAAACAATCACATGTACTATGTAAGGGCCTTGACCCAAATTTAGGTAAGTACAAGACATAAAGAGTTTAGTTGATGTAGGCTGAATTGTAGAGGATAGTGGGCTCACTCTGTTCTCCTAATCTCATGATGAACCCTGTCAATCTTAACCCATATCAGGTCTTAACACAGTATGGTTATTCTGACCTAAATCCATGCTCATATATATTGGGGTTTGATTTTTTTTCAATTTAGTGATTAACTATAGGGAACAACGTATTACCATAGTTTTTTGTTCACTTATATACAGGTAGTCCTGGATTTACAACAGTTCATTCAGTGACTATTTAAAGTTACAGCGGCTCTGAAAAAAGTGACTTATGACCATTTTTTACACATACAACTGTTGCCACATCCCCGTGGACACGTGATCAAAATTCAGATGCTTTGCAACTGACTCATGTTTATAATGGTTGCAGTTTCCCAGGGTCATGGGATCACCTTTCATAACCTTCTGACCAGCAAATTCAATGGAGAAGCCAGATTCACTTAACAACCATGTTACTAACTTAAGAACTACAATGATTCACCTAACAACTGTGTCAAGAAAAGTCCTAAAATGAGCAAAACTCACTTAGCCAATGTTTCACTTAGCAACAGAAATTTGAGGCCCAATTGTGCTTATAAATTGAGGACTACCTGTAATGCTGTAATAAACTAGCAACTATGAAATACGTATATGTTTGATAAAGCAAGATATTAATATATAAATACATGTCTGAAGGATATTGTAATTAGCCATATCCATGGTAAGGTAGGTTATAAGAATAGGGGCCTTAAAAAAAAAGACTGCATGCCATGCTAGATTAACAGGTCTGTTTTATGCACATGCAAAACTATAATGAATGGCAAAACAGAAAAGCTGCTCAGAATAGTTTTACTTTCTAATCTGCCTGGATACTCTTTGAGATCAGCAAAATGAAGTTAAATAGGATTTTTAAAAAGCATGAATTAAAGCTAGATATTCCCTCAAGGGCAGGAGCTTTCCTGGAAATGAGTGAATATAATACATGTGTGCAACCATTAAAGGTGAACGAACATTAATGGGGTTTGTTGAATGCACTGAATAAAAACACTGTGAAAAGTTAAAACTTTGAAGGGTAATTACAGCTTGACATTTGGATAAAGAATGGCAGATGCCCACTCAAGCGGGGTGAGGGGCGTACTTGGGTTCTTTAGAGTTGAGAGAATGCGGGCTGGGGTAAATCAATCATTCAATCAATCTGGCCATACACTAATTCAAAAAGATGACAAATTTTGAGATAACAAATAAAAATTGTAATAAAACTAATGAGCCTTGGAGGTTGGACAGCCTTGATATAGGGTCTCCTGCTTGAGCAGGAAGTTAGACTAGAAGACCTCCAACAACTCTGTTATTCTGTTCTGCTAATGATAAAAACATGATCTCAATGTACTACATATTCTACCAATATTAAAGCAAAAGTTAGAGAAATAAAATTACATAGGTGTCACAAGAATAACCATTAAGAGAATGAATCCTGGCGGTGTACAAATCAGAAGTGAGTTGCTACCAGTTCGCACCAGTTCAGGCAAATCGGTAGTGGAATATTTGCAGAACGGGCAGCGACCCAGGCTGGCCACACCTCCAAACCAGTTCTCTGGTTGCCACAGCATGTTTCTTTGGCATTTTTTAAATGTTCTGCACATGCACAGACCAGTGGTGGGATTCAGCCAGTTCGCACTACTTCAGGAGAACTGGTTGTTAACTTTCTGAGCAGTTTGGTGAACTGGTTGTTGGAAGAAATCATTAGGGTAGAGAACCGGTTGTTAAATTATTTGAATCCCACCACTGGTGCAGACCTATTTACAGGCAACAGCACACACCGCACCAGCAGTAACACTGACAGCAACCCACCCCTCCTACAAATATTAGATTATTAGATGTAATCAGTGTTGCAGTCAGAACAATATAACAGAACATGACAGGAAGTGTAGATTCTCTGGGATATGGGAGAAATATCTTCATTGCTGGGAAAAAAGAGGAATGTCTATGGATTTTGAATTCTTCTTCTTCAATGAACATAGTTTGAAGGAGTATAATCCTAATTCATACATTTGTCAAATATAACTTCATCTTTCTTTTATGCATGAATGAGATTTCCATCAAGTATACATTTTGTTTTATTTGCATAGTGTCTGCCATTTATGGAGAGGGCAATTGCCTTTCAGCACCACAAATTCTATCCTCTGTTATCTGTAAGTAAGTTATTAGGTTTTTCATTCCCTAAACCAGTTTTTCCCATCCTTGGTAATATGATGCTAAGCCTTGATGGTGCGGTGATTAGAATGCAGTATTGCAGGAAAACTGTGCCACAGACTGGGGTTCAATCCTGATCAGCTCAAGGTTCCATCTTTTTGAGGTCAGTAAAATGAGGACCCAGACTGTTGGGGGCGATATGCTGATTCTATAAAACCACTTAGAGAGGGCTGTAAAGCACTATGATGTGGTATATAAGTCTATTGTATTAAGATATGTGGCTTCAACTCCCAGAATTCCTCAGCCAGCATGAGTTTTAAAGTTGCCATGTTTGGGAAACACTGCCACAAGCAGTTTACAAACTGGTCTGTTTCATTGTATCCTTGTAATCTTAAAGTCTTGAACTATATGGCATCTCTTCTTGGCTTACAGAGCATCTACTTCTTCCCAGAGTTTGCCAACTGTTTCTTGCTTGTCTAATTGCATACCTTCTTGGAATTGAAAGACCCCATTTCCATCCCAATCTTGCTCTCTTGATAGAGGCAGAAAAAAAGAAAGCAAGCTTCTGGGAAGAAAGGTTAGAATAAAATAGCTGTTTTGATTATGTGAATTTTACAGTAATGAATCTAAGCTGAAACAGCAGGCAGGATCTAATAAAAATGGAGAGAACAGTGCAAGAGCAGCTGGTTCTCCAGGGATTCCATGTTAAAGATGCTAATTTTTGCTCTAATAACTTTGAAGGACTGATCTGCATAAAGAGCAATGGCAATTCTATTAAAGCTGCATGCCTCATAAGGGGGCACTTAAATGCAATCATTTCATGAGTTGATGAAAATTCCAGATGTTGCCATTCTCCATTTGGGATCATCATAGATTATCCTACTCCATTTTCCATCTTTTTTAACGATGGGAAATGCCTCAAGGAACAAGAGATGGAATAGTTGCATTGTGTGTTTTTATTAGCTACTGCAGGAAACAGCTCTAACTTCTAAACCCCTTAGTTACTACTTTCTGATCAGAATGAAGCACAAGCTACAGGGCCAAAGTTTCTAAGAAGGAGTGTCACCATCTCAAAGTAGAAACAGAGGATAGATTTTAAATGGTTGTCCATGATGTACATCACTTGACTCATAACTGATAGTCTGGAAAGTTGAAAAACCATCCCAGAAAAAATCTATGGCAACCACTTCCTCATCACTACTAAGAAAACTTCATAGCTGCCATCACTAGGCAGCCAAACTTGATTGAATAACACCTTTATGGTACTTTACGGTTTCTCATCAATTGGGAGCTAATGTTTTTTGTAGCACTAACCTGTTTTTTGGAAGATGGTAACAGAACAACAAGAAACAGTGCGTACAAATCACACACAGCAAAGGATCCAATATGCAACATGAAATTTCCTGGGAAAAAACACCCTATGAAAAATGAAGTAGGCATGCATGTTTGTGTCTATAATCTTTTTATTTTGTGGAACTCTCAACATGTATATGAAAATGTTTTCTGTAATTACTTACAGGTCAAATATCAAATAATGGTGTGCCTCTTCTGATATGCTGTCATGGAGTCTCACTGCAAAAATAAAAGAAACATAAGATTATTATTATTATTATACAATTGTATCACAGCGGCCAGTTGTTTCGCCGGTTTTGGCATTGGTTACTAGTCGGGCCCCACCCAGGGGCCTAGGACGTCGTAACGTATT